GCATAAGCTTATGCAGGAAAAGTTCATTTGTAACACAATACAGAAGAACATTTTGACTAACTTAGAGTTGCTTTTGTGACGTGGATGGTGAGAGCTCACCAAGAAGGCGTGATGGAAATCTGTCATCGAACCTCAGGCGACATCGAAGACCAGATATGATGTTCTATGATGTCCTTAAGCGGCCTTTTTTTAGCGTGTTTTAAAAGACGACGCTTTTTATAAAAAAAACCATCATCTTTACATATAATAGACGACCCTTTTAAAAAAAAACCGTCATCTTTACTTCATAATAGATGACCCTTTTCTTATAAAAAGGGTCGTCTTTACTTCATAATAGACGACCCTTTTTATAAAAAACCGTCGTCTTTACTTCATTATAGATGACCATTTTAAAAAAAAACAAAAAAAAACTGTCATCTTTACTTATAATATACGGCAGTTCTTTAAAAAAAACCGTCATCTTTACATATAATAGACGACAGTTCTTTCAAAACGACCATGTCTTTACCAAAAAAAGGACACTTGATTTTTAAAAGACGACGCTCGTCATACCTGCTGTTGTTGTTTTTTTGTCAGATTTTAACTCTAAAGAAAACCTTTTTAATAAGACGACGCTTTTTTATTTGTGTGCGTCGTTATAAAAAAAAAATTCAACAGTACCTCCGTTTTTTAGTTGTTTAAGTCACTTATCCACGACGGTTTTTTGTTACCGTCGTTTTTTTTTAAAACAAAGACGGTTTTTTGTTCTACCGTCGTCTTTTTCTGGTTGTCTTTTTTACTTTTTGTAGTAGTGCTTTCATCTTCCTTTTGAAAATCCACTTGTAACCGAGGGGTTTATTTCCAGGAGGAAGATCCACTAATTCCCACGTATGGTTTTGTAGGATGTATTCCACTTCAGTATTGATAGCTTCTTTCAAAAAAGGAGCTTCAGGGGATGATATGGCTTCCTTATAAGTTTGAGGTTCATTTTCCAACAAATAAGTTAGAAAATCAGGACCAAAAGATTTAGATGTCTTTTCCCTTTTACTTCTTCTAGGTTCAACCTCATTTTCATGTCCATGGTCAGATTGGTCTTGATGATTTTCAAGATTACTACTATCATAAGTTCTTTAAAGAGAACTTTGCTCATGTGCATCTTTACAAGGAAAAACATTTTCAAAAAATGTTGCATTCCTTGACTCAATAACCGTATTCGCATGTACATCATCATTTTTTGATTTATGTACAAGGAATCAGTATGCACTGCTAATAGAAGCATAACCAATAAATACACAATCAATGGTTTTGGGTCCTATTTTAACTTTTTGGGATCAGGGACTG